TCGACTCCGTTGAGACGTAAACAGAAACAGTTTCGAAAAAGTCATTTGAACAGTCTATTCGTGGAAATGTTAAACAAACGATTGATGCTCAAGAAAAAAACAACAACAAAGCGAAATGAACATAAGAAAAAAACAAGTAGCAAAGCGCTTAGTAAATGTCATAACAATCGACAGCGACCGTATTCTGCTTCTTCTTCTTTCTTGACAAGTGCTCATGAATTCGAATGCAAAATGCTTGAATACAATTTAGAATCAAAAATGAGTATGTATGGATTTTAAATTTCTCTCTTGTGTTATCGAAAGACCGGCATGGAAAAGCAGCCGCGCTTGCTTGTTCTTTAAAAGAATCCATTGTTTATTGTGTGTTTTGCACATTGTGCAACGAAAAATTAATTTGGAACGGAATGCCACGAAACATTCACACACACATCGATTTGGTTGAATGGACACTTTCTTTCACAACTCTTTTTTTTCGGCTCCGTATGAGTAGTGTGTAGTATATTTCAGATGTAAGCAATTTATTCATGCGAAAATGCAAATTTTTTTTATAATAATAAGAACTGCGGATGTAATGGTTTGACAAAATATGGATTTATGTTTCGAACTGTGTTCGCATTGATTCGCATACAAACGCATTTTTAAATCCAATCTGTTGTGCTCAAATCATCATGAATCGAAAGATTGTCTTATTATCTAAAGAAGCTATATTTTTTTTCGGGAGAATGATTATTTGGAAAACAAAATGCTATGAGTCGGTGTAATCAGAATGCAGAGTTATCAACATCATTCATACACAGTGAATGAAAAAACGAAGTGGAATTAGTTGTAGAAACGAATCAACGGGAAACTAACTAAGCATTTCTCTTTCCAAAACACAATACGTTTTGGGTATGACAGCTAAGCACCAAGCGCAGACTGCAGAGTCTTCGAGTTCAATTCCGAGTGATCTTGTTTTTTTTTTGTTTGTTTTTTTTTTCAATCAATATTTTTCCATCATAACAAATATACATTGTGTGCATATACTGAATCAACATCACAGTCCGTTCAGGCTGTATTGAATTTAAGTGATAAATGCTGATTTTGTGAGCGGATGAAAACCGACAACAAAATATTCGCTTCGATTTGTTTTGCTTTTTCTCCAAAATAAATTTTGGGATGAGGACACAAAGAAAATGTTCGTTCTCTGCACTATTTGCTTATGCTGATGATCCATTTTTTTGGTGAAACCGAGCCGTAAAGGAATGGCCAATCTGAAGAGAAATCATTTCGGTTTTGGGCATTGGTTTAATAAGTAACAAGCAAGAAGTGGTGAAGTGAAAATGGCTTCAAAACAAGAGGCTATGGGAACAGGCTCAAATGGCCAACTAAACGACAAAGTTGCTCCAGAAATGGCATCAGCAGAAGAGAAGATGGAAACAGGCACAAATGGCCAACCGAACGACAAAGTGGCAACAGCAGAAGAGGTGATGGAAACAAGCTCAAATGGTCAACCGAACGACAAAGTTGGTCCAGAAATGGCATCAGCAGAAGAGGTGATGGAAACAAGCTCAAATGGCCAACTGAGCGACAAAGTTGCTCCAAAAGTGGCATCAGTCGTAGGAACAGACGTGCTGTTAAGTAACAAGGGCGTTCGGAAGGTGATCTTTTACGATGGTTACAAGTACCGTTTCGACAAGGTCCATAATGGCACTGAATACTACTTCTGTGACACGTAAGTAGCTGTCTATTTTTGTATTTACGAATGATTTAATTTTTTTCGAGTGTGTCAACAAACGGAACAGTGAAAAATATATTTAAATCATCTTTAAATGCAATTGGAATATAAATAAAAATAGAAGAAAAAATCTGGTTTGAAAGAGAATTGAACTCACGACCATCGGATATGTTTGCATACATTTTGAACCACTAGACTATAAAAACATTTAAGTTTACATGGCTATAAGAACAGTAACTTTGAATACAAATTAACATCAGCATTGAGAATGCATATATATTTTTTTCTGTTTCGTTTGCCGAAAAAGCTGAAAAAATGTCTACATAAATCTGCACAAATATTTTTATTAACTAAATGATCAAATAATGCTATTTCTTTTTGCTTAAATGTTGCATTATTGTCAACTTTTTTTCCGAACCCAATGAAATTGCTAAAAATTAAGGAAAGCAAATAACCAGACTCAATTAAGATATTTTATTCTGACTAAATTAAATGTTTATCTAAGTTGAATGTGGACAAAAAGTCTCTTGGATTGGTATTCATTTGAATTTTTGAAGTGTTGCCAAATGCACCTTCACGTCATTCACACACATTTATTCATTCGCATTCGCGCAGTTGAAATGTCAAACCAGCTCAAGTCACATTAAGAAGTATATTGAGATTTATATTTTGTGGAAAAAAAGAAAACTTCTTATTCTTCTCAATTATTGAATCCAATCAATTCCTAAATTCATATAGCGTATATTGTGAACATGCATTTGCAATTTCATTTTTAATGTGCGTTACAAAAACCCCTTTGTCCATAAAGAATTAGTGTTACATTTGTTTTGTTTCAATCAATTCATTTCAATAGGGCACGTACAAAAGGTTGCAGCCAGCGTTTGCACAAGCCCATCGACAACGACGACCCCCGTCATTTCATTCTGAAAGGTTCACACATTCATTCTGGCGACGCTCGCAAAGTGAACAAAAAGAAAGTGATGACAAAGTTGAAGGACTTATCCAAAAACACAAAAGATACGATCCGTCAAGTGATTTCCAAAAGCATTTACGACACTTCAAAAGCAACCAAAGCAAAACTGCCAACAGAAAAGTTGATGGCTCAAATGGTCAGCCGCTATCGTCGTGGGTCTGGTGTACTGAAAAACCCACAAAATTTGTCAGAATTGGTTTTGGAAGGTGAATATGCGCAAACGGTGAACAAAAAACCATTTTTGTTGCACGATTCCATGGCTATGGTACCACCAGAGGAAATCGAAGAGGGTGTTCGCGACCGTGTATTGATATTCACCACAAGCGAAAATCTCAAATTTCTGTCGTTGTGCGACGAATATTTCATGGACGGTACATTCAGTGTGACTCCACCATTGTTCTCGCAGCTGTACACGTTGCACGGTGAGGATTTCAAAGAAACGCTTTGTTTTAAGAAAAAATATATTTCAACTTTTCTAAACTTCGATTCATAATCATTTTATTCAGGTCGTTACAAAGGTTGGCATGTGCCACTTGTTTACACGCTCTTGACAAACAAGAAGCAAGACACGTATGTCGATGTGCTCAAATTTTTGCATGAATTGGAACCAACGCTCAATCCAACGGACTATATGGTTGACTTTGAAATGGCCGCTATGAATGCGATTGGAGAAGTGTTTCCCGAGACTGAGGTCCATGG